TTTATCCATCCATCTGTTGATGGACACTTAGGTTGCTTCCATATCTTGGCAGTCATACATAATGCTCCTAGGAACATCGGGAGGCATGTATCTTTTCGAATTAATGTTTTTGGGTTTTTAGATATATACCCAGGAGTGGAATTGCTAGATCATATGGTAGATCTAGTTTTAGTTTTTTGAGAAACCCCCATGTTGTTTTCCACACTGACTGCACCAATTTACATTCCTACCAGCAGTGTACAAGTGTTCCCTTTTCTCCACATCCTCACCAACATTTGTTATTTGTGTTCTTTTTGATGATAGCCATTCTGATAGGTGTGAGGTGATATCTCATTGTGTCTTTGATTAGCATTTCCCTGATGATTAGTGATGTTGAGCATCTTTTCATATGTCTTTTGACCATCTGCATTTCTTTGGAAAAATGTCTTCTGTTCTGCCCATTTTTTAATTGAGTTGTTTGTTTTTTTTTTTTTTTGATGTTGAGTTGTATGAGCTGTTCGTAAAAGTGGTATATTAATCCCTTATCAGTCATAGCATTTGCAGATATATTCTCCCATTCAGTAAGTTATCTTTTCAATCTGTTTTGTTGATGGTTTCCTTTGTTGTGCAAAAGCTTTTAAGTTTAATTAGGTCTTATTTGTTTATTTTTGCTTTTATTTCCTTTACTTTAGGAGACAGATCCAAAAAAATATTGCTGCAATTTATGTCAAAGAGTGTTCTGTCTATGTTTTCCTCTGGGAGTATCTGGTCCTACATTTAGGCTTTAATCCATTTTGAGTTTATTTTTGTATGTGGTGTTAGAGAATGTTCTAATTTCGTTCTTTTACATGTAGCTGTTTAGTTTTCCCAGCACTGCTTATTGAAGAGGCTGATTTTTCTCCATTGTATGTTTTTGCCTCCTTTGTTATAGATTAATTGACCATAAGTGCATGAGTTTATTTCTGGACTCTCTGTCCTGTTCCATTGATCTATGTATCTGTTTTGGTACCAATGCCACACTGTTCAGATTACTTGTAGTATAGTCTGAAGTCAGGGAGCCTGATTCCTCTAGCTGTTTTTCTTTCTCAAGATCATTGTGACTATTTGGTGTCTTTTGTGTTCCCATACATATTTAAAAATTATTCTAGGGACTTCCCCAGTGGTCCAGTGGTTAAGACTCCACGCTTCCAGTGCAGGGGGTTGCAGGTTCAATCCCTGGTTGGGGAACTAAGATCCCATGTGCTGCACAACATGGCCAAAAAATAAAAATAAATAAAAGAAGAATAATAAAATAATTTAGAAAAAAGAAATAGTTTTAAAAAATTATTCTGGTTTTGTGAAAAAAGCCATTGGTATTTTGATAGGAATTGTATTGAATCTGTAGATTGCCATGGGTAGTATGTTCATTTCAATAAAATTGATTCTTTCTATCGTAGAATACAGTATATCTTTCCATCTGTTTGTGTGGTCTTCAGTTTCTTTCATCAGCGTCTTAATAGTTTTAGGAGTACAAGTTTTTGCCTCCTTAGGTAGTTTTATTCCTAGGTATTATTTTTTGATATGGTGGTAAATGGGATTGTTTCCTTAATTTCTCTTTCTGATATTTCATTGTCAGTGTATAGATATGCAGCAGATTTCTGTATACTAATTTTGGATCCTGCAACTTTATGGAATTCATTGATGAGTTCTAGTAGTTTGCTGGTAGCATCTTTAGGATTTTCTATGTGTAGTATTATGTCATCTGCAAACTTCTTCCTTTCCCATTTGGATTCCTTTTATTTCCTTTACTTCTCTGATAACTGTGGCTAGGAATTCCAAAACTGTATTGAGTAAAAGTGGTGAGAGTGGGTTCCTTGTCTTGTTCCTGATCTTAGAGGAAATGCTTTCAGCTTTTCACCGTTGAGTATGATGTTAGCTGTGTGTTTGTCACATATGATCTTTATTATGTTGAGGTATGTTCCCTCTATTCCTGCTTTCTGGAGAGTTTTTATCATAAATCGATGTTCAATTTTATCAAAAGCGTTTTCTGCATCTATTGAGATGATCATATGGTTTTTATTCTTCAATATGATATACCATATTAACAAATTGATTGATTTGTGGATATTGAAAAATCCTTGCATCCCTGGGATAAATCCCACTTGATCATGGTGTATGATCCTTTTAAAGTATTGTTGGATTTGGTTTGCTAGTATTTTGTTGAGGCTTTTTGCATCTATGTTCATCAATGATATTGGCCTGTAATTTTCTATTTTTGTGATATCTTTGTCTGGTTTTGGTATCAGGGCGGGTGAAGGTGGCCTCATAGAATAAGTTCAGAAGTGTTCCTTCCTCTGTAACCTTTTGGAATAGTTTCAGAGGATAGATGTTAACTCTTCTCTAAATGTTTGGTAGAATTCACCTGTGAAGTCATCTGGTCCTGGACTTTTGTTTGTTAGGAGTTTTAAAACTACTGATTCAATTTCATTACTAGTAATTGGTCTGTTCATATTTTCTATTTCTTCCTGGTTCAGTCTTGAGAGATTGTACCTTTCTAAGAATTTGTCTTGTGAATTTGTACCTTTCTAAGAATTTGTCTATTCTAGGTTGTCCGTTTTATTGGTATAGTTATTTGTAGTAGTCTCTTACAATCCTTTGTATTTCTCTGGTGTCAGTCATAACTTCTTTTTCATTTCTAATTTTATTGATTTGGGTTCTCTCCCTTTTTCTTTTTAATTTATTTATTTATTATTTATTTTTGGTTGCATTGGGTTTTTGTCACTGTGCATGGGCCTTCTCCAGTTGCAGCGAGTGGGGACCCTCCCCGTTGCGGTGCACAAGCCTCTCACTGTGATGGCCTTTCTTGTTGCGGAGCACAGGCTCTAGGTGCGTGGACTTCAGTAGTTGTGGCACATGGCCTCAGTAGTTGTGGCTTGCGGGCTCAGTAGTTGTGGCTTGTGGGCTCTAGAGCGCAGGCTCAGTAGTTGTGGTGCACGGGCCTAGCTGCTCTGCACCATGTGGGATCCTCCCGGACCAGGGCTCGAACCTGTGTCCCCTGCACTGGCAGGCAGATTCCCAGCCACTGCACCACCAGGGAAGCCGCCTCCCATTTTTTCTTGATGCATCTGGATATGTCTTTTTTATAGACAGTATGGAAAATGTAAAGAATTATAGAAGTTTAATAACATTTTATCATGTAGAACAAAGTGTTGATATCTGGTCACTTTCCTTGTTCATCTCAATGTGGGTAGAATATGTTATGTATGAGTTTTATGGGAGAATAGACTATTATGAGGCAAGTCTGGAAGCAGAAATCAGTTAAGAATCTATTGTATCTATCTGGGATAGGGACAATCATGGTTTGGACGAGGGTGCTGGCTGTAGAAGTATAGAGAATGGGAAGATTTTCATTATTTTGAAGGTGGAGATGATAGTTTGCTGGGAGATCTCTGCGTTCTCTCACTGCATATCCAACAAAGAAGGCTCCAAAATTTTGGCTTAAGCAAACCAAAGATTGGAGTCGCTTTTAGGATAGGGTAGCCTGGGAATGGAGTCATTTTTTACCAGAGGCATTAGGAGTTTCACTTTGAACATACTAAGCTTAGTATGCCAATTAGACCTCCCAGAGGAGATAGAAAGTGAACAGTTGGATACACAAGTCTGAAGTGCTAGAGAAGGGACTAGGTTTGATAGTGTCCCAGCATTTGGCACAATACCTCACAGCTTTAGTATGTATGTGCTTCATGACTCTTTGTTTGGAGAACTCTGATACAATTGTTTTTGGAAATGATTGGCAATAGCTGCATGAAATTTCATTAGAGTTGTACTTTTTTATTATATACATAATTAAGAATTTCCATATTTCTTCTATAATGGTTTGTAGATCATTGAATTGGTTGCTTGACAATAGGAATAAATTATCTTAGTGGAAATAAGAAAGGGCATGAAAGAGTAGCTTTGGAGGATACAAGTATAGGCAAATACTATGTATGTAATGATGTAATCATATTATAAAAGTTTCATGAACTGGTAACATTACAAGGAAAATAAGCTTTGATATTATGTTTTTCATTTTCATTTGTCTCAAGGTATTTTCTACAATTTATACCAATAAGTAGAAAATCTGAATAAGGTAATGTACTTAAACACTGTTAATACTATACATTTTCAGATTTATGATCATTTGGGTTTTGCAAGGTCAAACTGCTTTTTTAATCATTTCTTAATCCTCCATACTTATTAGAGAGAGAGAGACTTATAACAGGAAGTTCACAGATACAGCTGTCCAAATACGTTCAATTGAATTGAGTTCCATGTGTTTAGAGAAAGTGCCCACGATGTGTTCAGGAAGCAAGCACACAAGCACAACTGCGGGGAGGATCATGGGAGTCTGTTAGATCAGAGAAAGTGAGCACGTGTTTTTCAGTTGGGTCCTCATGAGATCAACCTTCTAATTGGCTCTGTAACACTTGATAAATTGACTCTTGCAACTCAACTTTTTGTAAAATTATCTGTGTTGTGGAGTTGTGAAGAGAAAATGAGAGCGTGTTTGGAGGTGTCTAGTTCACTGTTCCCAGAGTTTTGCCTTAAACAGTCATCATGAGTGTATCAGACGTCTTTCTAGCTTCAGTGCTACTCATGGCCTAAAGCAGTTCTGAACTTGGAGATGGTGGGAGGGGGTGCAGTTCCAGGAGTGAGCAAGTTACAAAAGGCCCCCTGACACTATGGCCTGTGCTGCATGACTCTTAACCGCCTTATAGCAACCATGGCTTATTGGGATGGATTGTCCAAAAGAGAATTTTATCATTTCCACCTCCTACAAAGTCCTAGTGATTATGGTTGGCCTGTATAATCATCCTCATTTTAGGGAGGATTAAAAAAGAGACTAGAGATGTTAAATGAAATACTTAGGGTCACATATAAAACAAACAGTCAAATTATGACTCAGTCCCTTGCTTGTTTATATGTAGCCTTTGAAAACAATGGATTTAAGAACATAATTTAGAATATATTCAGTCATGACTTCATTCTGGTGAAGCAGCCCGAGTAAAATTAAAAAATTGTGGGGAAATTTTGCTGGGTTTAGAGAACAGCTGGGAGTCAGTTTTGTCTAAATGCAGAGGGTTGCAAACAGATTGAAGGGAGATTTTGAAAGGCCTAGGTTTGCAAGTACAGAAGGACCACTACATATGGTGGAGGGGGTGGGATTTTGGAACTGTGTACAACATGACTTCCATAATCACATGTGCAGCCGCAGGCAAGATGGCCGTTATTTTTTGTCTTACTCAAGGTCAGGAGGATAGTCAGTGATAGTGCTGAGCCTAGGCTTAACTACAGAATCCTCTCCTACATTATGGAAATACATTGTGGAATATAACCAGATAAGTAACCTTGATAAAACACTATCCTCTTCAGAACTGGTTCCAGAACAAAAATGCCCAACTACCACCTAGAGAGAGACACAGAACGTCTGCTGCTAGGAAAGCATGTGAGTTCCTTGTCCAAGGTCATTCACTTCTAAGCCTCCAGGTAGAATCTCCCAACTACATCACTGAACAGACCTTCTCTTCCACCCAGGAGGCTCTGCTGGGTAGAGCTGACTATCCTTCTCTGGAGACACAGGGAGTTCCCAGTCAACAGGATGGCTCATGTGACACTCTGGTCCCAGGTATTAAAAAGGAACCAAGCTATGCTTTGGAGTACCAAGGTGACGTGGGAAGTAAACTTGGTCCTGCCTATCCATTTGCCAGCTACAAATCGGCACTCCTTCTTCATCCTCCTACATCTTCTGTGCAGTGTTTTGAGAGGGACAGGCCTGAGAGAGGGGAAAGCCAGCATATAAGGCCCTTCATTCTGCACCATGTTTGTACTGTGCAGGGAGAGGCAGCAGCAACAGAAGCAGAAGGTCCATTGTCATTACTCACTATTTCAAGGACAGCAGCAAAATGATTTGCTTATGTTCTCTTCAGCTGCCTCAACAGCCTCAGAATCACCAAGGGAAACAGTAGTCCCAGGACAGCGTCTAATGCACCTGAATCATGGGGGTTTAGGGCAGCAGGTGCCCGCGCTTCAGTCATAACAGCTTGGGGGGTGGGTGTTCCCAAACTAACAGAGAGCCTCTCTGTTCTCAGCTTCAGCATGTACCTCGGCAAATAATGGTCAGGTCTCTGCCAATGCCTCTTGGGCAAGATATACAGCAAGGAGCTGCAGAGCAACCCAGTTCCCAAATGCAGCAGCTTTGGAATGAAGGGTCTACAAAGGTCAACTGCTGGGACCAAGAATGTGGCTCTAGGAAATGATTCTAAGCTCCTGAAATAATAGCCATAGGTCATCCCATAGTCATCCACACAGCAGCTGAAGGCAAAGCCCTCTCCAGGGCCCGCCAATACTGCCTTTGGGAAAACTCCAAGAGCTGCTGATCCTTTCTGGTAGGGTAGCCGTGCCCAGCAGTGTTATAGCCCCTAACCAACAGCTTATAGCGATGTGTAGAAAGCTGGGCTGGAGTATGGAACACAAAACCAACAAACACAATAGCAGCAAGACAACCATCCAACAGAAGTTGCTGAATCCAAAGCAATTACAAGCAACATGAAGGGCACAACTGCAGTAGCCTTTGGATGAGAAGGCCTACAAGGCTGCCGTTGCAAAGCTCTCTACTCCGTGGAGCCAGGGCAGCAGCTGTATGTCTTCCTGCAGCCAGTTTCACCGAAGCCCTGACTGTGAAGGACCAACAACTCCAGTTGGTCTCCATACATCTGGAAGCAGCCCCTTCACTGAGGCCTCTTGAACTTTCTCCAGTTAAGGTAGGAACTTCCAATGGAGCTGCAGGCCAGGCTGTTGCACTCTAAAGAGCCCCAGGAGGATGTTGGATCAGCTGTGCAGCCCACAGCATCCCTTTAGCTGAGAGCTGGTGCGTGGGACTCAAGTGTTGTGACCAAGTCACCTGTGGATGTGGAGCAACAAGATGTCACAAGATCTGAGAGTACCCAGTGGAGCATCTGAATGCCACATTGGTAACCTGAGTTTTTGAGGAAAAGCCTGGCGTCTGTGAACCTCTATCTTTAAAATGGTTTTCATAATTTTGAGCTTTAAGATACAGAACCGGGCTTCCCTGGTGGCGCAGTGGTTGAGAGTCCGCCTGCCGATGCAGGGGACACGGGTTCTGTGCCCCAGTCCGGGAAGATCCCACATGCCGCGGAGCGGTGGGGCCCGTGAGCCATGGCCGCTGAGCTTGTGCGTCCGGAGCCTGTGCTCCGCAACGGGAGGGGCCGCCGCAACAGTGAGAGGCCCGCACACAGCAAAAAAAAAAAAAAAAAAAAAAAACAAAGTTGCAGAACCATGTTCAGTGAAACATCAAGTTGCCTAAATAGTTTTATAGTGTGATAATTATGAAAATAAGGGATAAAATAGTAAATAATACTGATTATTCTTAGATACAAATACATGTATACATACACAGCAAAAATTTTAAAAACGTAGACTGAGTTTATATTCACTAGACAGTTGCATTTGGGCAAGTAGGAAAAGCAAAGGTATAAAATATACCTTTTAAGTATGAAACAGCTTATATAAATGTGAATAAATCTAGCATCTGATTTAATGATGGCATTTTAATTTTATTTTTTATGTTGGTCTAATTAGTATATTTTCTTTAAAAAATTTTGTAGAAGTATAGTTGATTTACAGTGCTGTGTTAATTTTTGCAGTACAGCAAAGTGGCTCAGTTATAGATCTCTGTATATTCTTTTTCATATTCTTTTCCATTATAGTTTATCACAGGCTATTGCATATAGTTCAGTATCCCTATTGAATATAGGACCTTGTTGTTTATCCATCTGATGTATACTACTTTGCATCTGGCTAATCCCAAACTCACAATCCTCCCCCTCAACCCACCTTGGCAACCACAAGTCTGTCTCTATGTCTGTGAGTCTGTTTCTGTTTCATAGATATGTTCATTTGTGTCATATTTTAGATTCTACATGTAAGTGATATCATATGGTATTTGTCTTTCTGACTTACTTTGCTTAGTATGATAATCTCTAGGTCCATCTATGTTGCTGCAAATGGCATTATTTCATTCTTTTTTATGGCTGAGTGATATTCCATTGTGTATGTGTATATATATATATATATATATATATATATATATACACCACATCTTCCTTATCCATTCGTCTGTCAGTGGACATTTAAGTTGTTTCCATGTCTTGGCTATTGTAAATAGTGCTGCTGTGAACATAGGGGTGCATATACCTTTTCGAATTATAGTTTTGTCTGGGTATATGCCCAGGAGTGGGATTGCTGGATCATATGGCGACTCTGTTTTTAGTTTTTTGAGGAACCTCCATACTGTTTTCCATAATGGCTGCACCAATTTACATTCCCACTAGCAATGCACAGGGGTTTCCTTTTCTCCACATCCTTGCCAGTGCTTGTCATTTCTTGTCTTTTTGACAATAGCCATTCTGACAGGTGTGAGGTGATACCTCATTCATTGTGGTTTTGTTTGTTTGTTTTGTTTTGTTTTTTTGCGGTATGTGGGCCTGTCACTGTTGTGGCCTCTCCTGTTGCGGAGCACAGACTCCGGACACGCAGGCTCAGCGGCCCTGGCTCACGGGCCCAGCAGCTCTGCGACATGTGGGATCTTCCCGGACCGGGGCACGAACCCGTGTCCCCTGCGTTGGCAGGCAGACTCTCAACCACTGCGCCACCAGGGAAGCCCTCCTTGTGGTTTTGATTTGCATTTCCCTGATGATTCATGATGTTGAACATCTTTTCATGTGCCTATTGGCCATCTGTATGTTTTCTTTGGAAAAATGACTATTCAGGTCTTCTGCCCATCTTAAAATAAGGTTGTGTTTTTCTGATATTAAGTTGTATGTGTTCTTTATATATTTTGGACATTAACCCCTTATCAAACATATTGTTTGCAAATATCTTCTTCCATTCAGTAGGTTACCTTTTTGTTGGTTTACTTGGCTGTGCAAAAGCTTTTAAGTATGCTTTCCTCTAGGAGTTTTATGTTTCATATCTTACATTTAGATCTTTAATCCATTTTGAGTTTACTTTTGTATATGATGTGAAAAAATATTCTATTTTCATATATTTACATGTAGCTGTCCAGTTTTCCCAGCATCACTTATTGAAGAGACTGTCTTTTCCCCATTGTATATTCTTGCCTCCTTTGTGGTAGATTAATTGACAATAGGTGCCTGGGTTTATTTCTGGGCTTTGTATTTTTTTTAAAGGATCGTTGATTTACAATATTGTGTTAGTTTCAGGTGTACAGCAAAGTGATTCAGCTATACATGTATTTTTTCCAGATTCTTTTCCATGATAGGTTATTGTAAGACATTGAATATAGTTCCCTGTGCTATACAGTAAATCCTTGTTGGTTATCTATTTAATGTGTAGTAGTTTGTATCTGTTAATCCCATACTCCTAATTTATCCATCCCCTGCCTCCCTCCTTTCCCCTTTGGTAACCATAAGTTTGTTTTCTATGTCTGTGAGTCTGTTTCTGTTTTGCATATAGATTCATTTGTATTATTTTTTAGATTCCATGCATAAGTGATATATAATATTTGTCTTTCTCTGTCTGATTTTCTTCACTTAGTATGATATTCTCTGGGTCCATCCATGTTGCTGCAAATGGTAATACTTCATTCTTTTTATGGCTAAGTAATATCCCATTATATATATGTGTGTGTATATATGTATGTATATATGTGTATGTGTATACCACATCTTCTTAAACCAATCATCTGTTGATGGGCACTTGGGTGGTTTTCCATGTCTTGGCTATTGTAAATACTGTTGCTATGAACTTTGGGGTGCATGTATCTTTTTGAATTAGTTTTCATCTTTTCTGGGTATATGCCCAGGAGTGGGATTTCTGGATCAGATGGTAGCTCTATTTTTAGTTTTTAAAGGAACCTCCATACTGTTCTCCATAGTGGTTACACCAATTTACATTCCCACCAACAGTGTAGGAGGGTTCCCTTTTTTCCACACCCTCTCAAGCATTTATTATTTGTAGACTTTTTGATGATAACCATTCTGACAGGTGTGAGGTGATACTTCATTGTAACTTTGATTTGCATTTCTCTAATAATTACTGATGTTGTGCATCTTTTCATGTGCCTGTTGGACATCTGTATGTCTTCTCTGGAGAGATGTCTATGTAGGTCTTCTGCCCCCTTTTTTTAAAACATACAGTTCCCTGTGCTATACAGCAGGTCCTTGTTGTTTATCTGTTTTACATATAGTAGTATGTATCTGTTAGTCCCAAACTCCTAATTTATCCCTCCTCCCCCTTTCCCCTTTGGTAACCATAAATTTGTTTTCTATGTCTGTGAGTCTGTATCTGTTTTTTAAATAAGTTCACTTGTATCATTTTTTTAGATTCCACATATAAGTGATATCATGTGATATTTGCCTTTCTCTGTCTGACTTCACTTAGAATGATAATCTCTAGGTCCATTCATGTGGCTGCAAACAGTATTATTTCATTCTTTATGGCTGAGTAGTATTCCACTACACACACACACACACACACACACACACACACACACACACACACACA